GGTTTAAAACTTTCCACACAAAGGATAGTTCCACATAGGTTTCTAAATTTGCGTCAGATGTAAACTTCGAAATTTATGTAGAACTGTACTTCACGTGGAGAGTTGTAAACCCATGAGTGCATTCCATTTCACGCATGATGCATCATTTATCCTTGTTTTTCAGCGAATGTTAAACAAGAATAAATAATGCATCATGCACATCATGCGTGAAACAGAATACACCCCATGGATAATTCCACACGAGTTTTCAACTTTTCATGTATAGCAAGAGCATAGCAAGATCTTTTTAAAAAATTTTTTTTTAGTAAATATTTCATTGACTATGTTAACACGGTTTGATTTACGCCGAAGTGATTATAATACATAAGTGTCGCAATATTTCACAGCTGTGACAGATCTCAATAATCATTAACTTTAACATTTATTATCTTGATCCATGGAGCAGAGCCATACTTTTTGTTTATCAGATTCATTCATTTTGTGCAAAAAATGTATCAAATAAGCTTAATTTCATCAAAATCGATGAGAAAGTCATTCTTCTTCAGTATTACCTAAATTAATATTATTAATAGAGTTAATATATTTAATGGAAACATTAATAAGACTCTAGTAAAAGTTAATGTTTACCATTTTCTTCATAAATCTTCTGATGAGCTGGGTCATTGGAGGTTGCCGAAACATAATCAGGATCCTGACCGTTTAGTAATTCTTCAGGAGCACTCATTTATTGGGTTTACGCTTTGCTCAAAGGAATAAAAGTCATTTCAATACACAGCACTTTTACCTACGTTGAAGTTGATATTTAAAAGTACAAGATGGATGTCAAGCAAGTCTTTTGATGCATGTACATAAAAGTTAAATTTATATTTTTTTTATCATTTATTAGCGCCGAGTTTTTTAAACGTTTAGATGCATATTCTGTCACTCTTGTAAATAAAAACCGAGACACTACTATATCTTCAGATAAAAATTTCGGAAAAATTTCTTCGAATAGGTTAGAGTTAAATTTAATTGATTTCACTTGTGCTATCGTTACAAATAGTCCATATTTGTAAGCGAGGAACAATTTACTAAAAGAAAATACCAGCATATATGTCTATGAATATCAAATAAAGATATACAGTTGCCGGACTGTAAAAATTGATACCGATAGAATACAAACATCGTTGTCAATTGTTGCAAAGCATCGCATGCGTGTATCACGTGTCCATGTTGAATCAGAGTTGCCAGATGCCTTTATCGATTTCCCCCTAGAGCAACCTCGGTTTTCTCTAAATATCCCTAAATTAGTTTTAAAAAAATCTGAGATTTCTTTCTAAATGCTGAGTTCAGGTCAAAGAGAAACCTGAGAGATAACGGTCCAAAATCTGTAACCGCAGAATGCTGTTGCGCACTACTGCTCTCTGACAAAGAGAATGCAAACTACATAGCAACATCCACTTTTCTTAGGGTACATCATTCACTTTTCAAGACTGAAGATGATAAATCGATGTTTGATTTGCTACATGTAACACGATTATATGAAATATCGATTAAAAAGTGGGCGATGTATTCTTAAAAAAGCGGATGTTGCTATATAGTTTGCTACACTTGATCCATTTTGTCAGAGGGCAATAGTTTGCAGCAGCATTTTGTGGTTACAAGTTTTAGACCATCATGTCCCCTCTCAGGTTTCTCTCTGGTTTAGGTAGTCGATTGAGTACCTTGAAATAAGAAAAAATTACAAAAATAAAAATTACAAAAGTGAGCAAATCCACTAGATATTGACCAATTAAATTGTGTATATTCTAGTAAATTTACTTGCTTTTGTAATTTTTACTTCATTCGAGATATATAATCAATTCCCAGGCCTTCGACTATAACAGAGAGAAACCTAGAGGAGCCATGCCGACCTTTTTCCTATTATCATGGAGTATAGAAAATAAGAGGTCGAACTTACATGGACGAGGCTCTCAAAAAGCATAGTCAAAAGTGATCAACTGAACTAGTTCGATTGAGATATCGCTTTTGTTCCACCACACCGTTTTCGCAGTTTGCATGATAGATTATATCAATTTTACATGAACATGCGCTATTCTTCATGCAGTTTTAATGAAATTCTATTCTTATGCCTAATTTACACTGGACGCAGCAAGCGTCAAGCAGCGGAGCAGCAACTAATCAGTGAAGCGATATTTACAATGGCGTAAACAATATCGCCTTGCTGGTTGATTGCTGCTCCGCTGCTTGACGCTTGCTGCGTCCAGTGTGAATTAAGCATTACATATGTTCAGTTGTGTGCGCGTAAGAATATATGAGAGGAGTTTTGCGCCGTCTACCAAGCACCACCAATACTAATTCAGAAACCTGATTTTGGCTGTGGTCAAAGTCTCGCTACAAATGCTTTGAAGCATTTGATGAACCAATTAGAAGAAAGAATTTTCAAACAGATCAATAAAAGAACGCTTCAAAACATTTGCAGCATCGTGTTGACCGTACCCTTTGACAAAACAAAGGCTTTTTCAAAGCCCAGTTCGGCCTCCTTATTCTCTCCTATGTTTATACACCATATTATAAAATACATAGGGTACGTTCATTTCATGGACGTATAAATATCTGGACGGAGCGTAAAGACTAAACACAAGGCACAGGCAATAGGCACAGGCAACAGAGAATAACGAGCTGTTCAATCAGGATATCATCATAAAACTTTTTTCCTAGAATGAAAAGTGAAAAGTGAAAAATTTCTCCATTAACTTTTAATGATTAAAATTTTCACTTTTTACTTTTCATTCTAGGGATAAAGTTCCATGATTGAGCTTTGATATATAAGTTTGATATTATATTCCAGAGTTCTGATTGGACTGGCTCGTTATTCCCTGTTATCTATGCTTGCTTGTGCCTATTGCCTATTATGTTTAAGCCTTAAAGCCAGTTTATGAGCGAGGGGACCGAGATCCATGCGGCGAGAGGGTCAGCCATCTTGGGTGTTTTCCAACAACGTACATAGATGATACAGTATCTTACACAAAGTGTTCCAACTATGACACAGTGGCCTAGTTTCCACCGAAGATTTAATCAGACTTGTAAGAACCAACTACAGTTGAGTATTCCCCTATTGTTCGACTGTAACAGGGGAATACTCAACTGTAGTTAGTTGGTTTTTACATTCTGATCCGGATTAAATCCTCAATGGAAACTAGGCCAGTGATACACTGTTCGACACAGTAAAAAGCTAAGTACAAGCGTATAAAATATGTCAATGTTACCAACTTTTCAAAAAGTTATTTGGTAGGCGTACTTATTTTACAATAAAACCTTCAAAAATCGCCAATTCTGAAAAAAATTATAACTTAAGTCTAAATAAAAATTATAAATCTATTATTGATACGCTAAATATAATTATAAGAATAGAATGGAAGACTGTAATGCATTCTGGTGTTACACTAAACTGCGTTCTAACAAGTATTTTACACAGTGGAACACAGTAGGATCAATTCTGTATCTTGAAACGAGATAAAAATTACAAAAGTGAGCAAATTTACTAGGTGTTGACCAATGAAATTATCAATATTCTAGTAAATTCGTTCACTTTTGCAATTTTCACTTCGTTTCAAAATACAGAATCGATCCCAGTAATGTCTCAGTGTTTTTGTTGGAAAACAGTCCTTGTCTGGCGACATTTTAGCGCTTTAGTTGAAAAAATATATGTATTAAGATATTATTTGTATTTCCAGTGTATAAAAATAGGATTTTGTGTGAGGCAAAGTTAATTCAACGGTTGTGTGTAATTAAAAATAATTTTCGGTTTATATTAAAAGAAGTGGCGGCTCTCTCCTCTCTTAAAATCTTAACTCTCTC